CCCCCGTGCCGTGTGTCCCTGTCCCCTGGCCGTGTCCCTGGCCCCCGTGGTGTGTCCCTGTCCCCCGGCCGTGTGTCCCTGTCCCCTGTGCCGTGTGTCCCTGTCCCCCGTGCCGTGTCCCAGTGTTTTCGGCACTCCCGACCTTCTGTGCCTTGTTTCTGTGCTGGACCTGACGTAACTTTTCGGGAAGTTTTGGGGAGAGGCTCTAGTAGGGCGCTTCAGGCCCTGGTGCTGTGAAGCTGCAGTGACGAGTTTTATCTGGAGCTGACAAATGCGGTTTGATTTAAGGCCTGGGGTTCCTACATCCTGTAATTACTTCTCGAGGTCTGTTTCTGCTCGAGCCGTGACTTCTACCAGCTGAAATAGCTGCGCTTGCTCCCACCGTGGCTGGGCTGCAGCTGGAGCTGTAAGAAGGTGCTTTGCACCTCTGTGGCTGTGTCTGGGGAGGAAGGGAAGCTTTGGTGTTCAGCGCTTGGCTGTGGTGTAACGCGTGTGCGCTCCCTCGTGTGAGTGAGGAGCACAGGGAAGAGTTCCAGGCTGGGCTTGGCTGGGCCTGAGCCTCCAGAGGCTCTGCTGGCTCTCCTTATTCTGGCCCGAGCACAGCCGCTACCAGCAGCACCGTGTGTAGGCTCTGCGTGGATTGCACTGGCAGCGGATTGAGCAATACAAGTGTCGCTGCATTCCAAAAAGTAAACAGCACAAATGGGACACGGGGTGGGAATATTCTCCATGCCTACAGTGTGGAGCTTTGGGGAGGAAGATGTCTCAGAGTGTCAGCTTGGGATTTATTGCCTCTATTAAAGGGAGCAGCTGTATCTTGAGGCTTTACGTTTGCAAAGGACATAAGTAGAGGTTTCAGTAAAACTGGTGCTCTCAGTGAGGCAGCGTGACAGGTTGGTTTGGGAGCCTTTCTGGAAAGTAGGGAAGCAGAAATTGGGTTCGACTCTCTGTTTCAGGTGCAGCAAAGACTTTGGCCTCTTAGCTTCTTCACATCAATAAGAAATGAAGAGCCAGGGCACTTCCTAGGTTAGTTTAGTATCCGTCCCAGTGGAGTTTTGGATTTAGCACAGCTCCTTGAAAAGCTGTACCAGAGATCAGCTCCTGGCAGTGACAGTGCCTGTCAGTGTGTGCCCTGGTGCTCACACATGCGGGTTGATGTTCCCATGCCAGGAGTGTGAAGTCGGTGCTTGCTCCTCTCCTCCCCAAAGGCAGCAGGAGCCCCGTTTGCCTGGCTGTGAGGGGGGCCCTGAGGAGCAGGTTCCCTCTTTGGCAGCCCATCTCCTGCTCTGAGCCCTGGGATTTCATCCATTTGCTGCATCTGGGTGCAAGAGTTGTGCTGAGGAATGCTGAAGTTGGTTTGGCCTGTGCAGGTGTGTCTGCAGCAGATCCAGGCTCTGGAAGAAACTTGGTGAGTAGCGTTTCTGCTTGTCCCTGACATGCAGGGTGGAGCACCTGGAAACCAGGGATGTTCCATGGGGCAGGGAAGCGTGGTGAATTCCATCTTTTTTCCTATTTAGATGCGAGTCCTGTTCCCTTTCTGGGTTGTGCTGCCAGTGCAGTGTGACACGCAGCACAGGAAGGAGAGCGGTGCCGCTGAAAATGTCTGCGGAGGTGCATGGGGAGGCTTTGCCCGTGACCCGTGGCAACAGGAGGATAATTGTTAACGTTCCTGGAATGACAGCCATTCCCAGGAGTCTGAGGTTCCCAGGTGGTGCTGCCGGCCTGTCTGGTCCCATTGGTCCCTGGTGATGAGCAGGACAAAGTCTGGTCACTGCTCCCAAGCCAGGTCAGGGTGCCCTGAGCGCAGGCAGAGCTGTGTGCGATGAGGTGCTGGGTGCGCTGTCCTTGAGGAGGTTTAGTCTCTTGGATCCATCCAAGCGGGGGTTCTCTGATGTTTCTGTCCCCACTTAAAGGAGCACTTTCAGTGAAGTGGAAATCCTTCCCCTGAAGAGCTTTGAAACCAAGGAAAGTTTAGTCACTTTCTTGTCAGTGGAGCGATTGCATCAAGGCAGGCCTTTGGCTTGCTGAGCACAAGGGAGTTGCTGTAAACTCCTTTGAGGAACTGACTGATTCTCTTTGTTGTGCTTTGTATGTGTTTTCCTGGGAAGATGGAGGGAGCATGGACAGGGGACCAGATCCCAAATCTGGGACAAATATTCCGAAAACATATCCCTGGCTCTTGAGGTGGTTCAGAAGGGGTGCAAAACCCCCAAAATGCCTCTGACTGGGGATTCTGCTGTTTTGCAGTAGTTTCCAACAGAGAAGTAGGAGCCCAAATATAAGGCAGGATTTAGGGGGGCAATAAAACATCCTGTGGTCTTAGGGATGGTCAGCAAAGCCCCTGTCCCACTGCTGAATTTTCATGCCCTTCCTCAAGGAAGTGCTGGTAACTTTTGCCTCAGCTGCTAAGTGGTGATGTGCAAGTTAGGTTGGTGTATCTGAGACAGCTTCTTCTCGTACTTACCTTGGTGATTGTCAGGGCTTCAAAGCAAAACTGAAGTTATGTGGCTGCTTTAAAGTGTGCAATTATGATCTGACCTATTTCTGCCTGGCCAAACCACATCTCTAAAGTTACAAAAGAAAGGAACATGTTTATTGGAAGCTTCAGGCAGGTTTTGTTGTGTTCTCTTGCATGGAATGTGTGCGTACAGCTGTGCATTAAGGATACATAAAAACACTTAATACCTTCATAAATAAAACTACTTAGTACCTTCCTGTACTTACACTGAATAGTGAGCCCCTTCCCCCATAAGTAATTGTGAGATCCCATTAGTCATCCCATTGGTGACTTAGCTTTCCAATGCAGCCCAGAAGAGGTGAACTATATTGCCTTACCTCATGCTTACTGCTGGTCTTTATGCCCACATGTTTATTTAGCATTTGATATAAATTCCCACCCTAGCTGAGTGAAGACAAGGTGGTAATTTTATGACAGATTCAGAAATCACAGGTAGCTCTTTGGGGATGTCTGGCTTGCAAGCATTAACCTTTGCATCATACAGAAAAGGCTCTGTGCTATTCACCAGAGATTACATCTCTTACTGTGTATTTGGAAATGTCAGCATCTAATGCAGACTGAAAACTTGGTCGTCTTGGAGGTCAGTGTTTTGCTTGCCATGGGTTTGTTACCTGCATTTGTGTTTCCAATTTGAGGCAACTTCAGCAGAGATCACATTAAGTCCTGACATCTCTCAGTGGGTTTCTGGTGGGATCTTTGCTTTGGATCTCTCTAGGGAGGGTGCTCAGCTGGGAACATACTTTGGGATGTAGGGAATAATGCATTTTTCTATCCTCTGCTTTTATCCCCCCTCCTCTCTTTCACAAATTGACCTGTTGTTCACTCAGCTCATACTGAAGACAGTGACTGTTTGTTACTTTTCTAGTAGTGCTTGCTGCCAAATTAGTACTTTATTTGTGCATAAAGAATGGAATTTCATATTACTAATTCAGTCATCACACTGGATTCACAGCTGCTTTCCCATGGTGTGTATTGCTCTTGATATGGACACCTAGAATTTCCTGGTGTCCTGTAGCTTCCAGTGCATTTTGCTCCTCTGTGACTTCTGCAGTACACGAGGAAATTGTGCTGGGTTAAAGCTTTTTCCTTTTTCCAATGGCTGTCCTTCAGTTTCTGTTAAAAGGCCAAGAAAAACCAATTGTCTAAAAAGCTGATTTCTTTCCTCAGTGGAACTATATTTAGATGCAGGTATTCCAGCCAATTGTAGGCAAAGCCTTTCTGTTCCCTGCTCCTGCCTTGGTCATCTTTATCATTAATCATGGAGTCACGGCATCTGTTAGGTTGGAAAAGATCTCCAAGGTAAATGAGCCCAACCTTTGGCCAATCCCCACCTTGTCACCCAGCCCGGAGCACTGAATGGCATGTCTAGTCCTTGCTTGGACACCTCCAGGGATGGGGACTCCAAACCTCCCTAGGCAATCTGTTCCAATGCCTGACCACCCTTTCCATGAAGAAATTCCTGCTGATGTCAAACCTGACCCTCCCATAGCTTGAGACTGCTCCCCTTGTCCTGTGCCTTGTTCCCTGGGACCAGAGCCCAACTTCCCCCAGCTTCACCCTCCTGTCAGGGAGTTTTGGAGAGCAATAAGGCTCCCCTGAGCCTCCTTTTCCTCCAGGTTAAACACCCCCAGCTCCCTCAGCTGCTTCTCATCAGACTTGTGCTCCAGCCCCTTGCCCAGCTCCAGCCCCTCAATGTCCATGTTGCAGTGACAGGCCCACAGCTGGACACAGCACTGGACACACCTCACATTGGTGAGGCCTCGCCAGTGCCCACAACAGGGGGACAGTCACTGCCCTGGTCCTGCTGGCCACACCATTGCTGACCCAGCCCAGATGCCATTGGCCTTCTTGCCCACCTGGGCAGGTGTTGGATCATGTTCAGCTGTTGCTGACCAGCACCCCCTGGTCTTTTTCTGCTGGGCACTTTCCAGCCACTCTTCCCCAGCCTGGAGTGATGCAAGTGAAGAACTTGGGAGAGATTGGGCTGTGTAGTCCAGCCTTACCAAACAAGTGTATCTGCTGGTTGTGAGTCCTGAGAGCTCTTGCTGTGGAGTGCTCAGTTCCTTTGTGCTGACAGAGCTGGTACTTCTGGAGAGAGCTCCTCACTAGAGGTGCTGGCTGGGAGGAATTGTTTGGTAAGATGGGGATCTTCCTGTTCCCTTCTGTGCCTCTGCATCATTAAGCAGTGCAAGTTGTGTCAAGGAACAGCACCAGAGGCCACTTCAGCAGTCTCTGGCTTGTGGTGTTTGAGGAGATAAAAACAACAAACCCAGTGGCTTTAAGCAGCCCTTGGCAAATATTTTCATGGCAATCCCTGTTCCAGCAGGCACAATGTTGTAACTCTTGCATGAATAAAATCCCCTTGC